TTTTGAAATGGCCTTGGCATTGGCTTGTTAACTCATTCAACCCTGTACACTATCTACCACTTAAACCCTACTGATAACTGATAAGCCAACTCCTAGGTACCTTATTGATTTTATCTAAACTGTCTCCCTGAGGGATATTGCACTGTTTTATTGACAGGTCATAAATAATAGGGGGTGCATTATGTAATTTGCCTCTGGCAATCTCATTTTTAATCCAATCAAGCTGAAATGACACATAAATGTTGGCAATAAAATTACCTAATCAGTGGTGTAACTTCCATCACTATGGCAACATGTTGGACTGATTTATTATCAATAAAATAAAGAAGATTTTCAACATAAAATCAGTTTATTTGTAATAAAAGAACTTTATTTACTGTATAAATTTCTATTAAAACATTCTTCTCCATAATATAATAAGTTAAAAAATATATTGAGAAATTTACAAATTAGAAATGAATACTTTGGAAGCATTATGCAAATAAATAAGTAGTAATGACTAATGAGCAAATATAAGTATTATGTTATGGAGCTCATAAAAACAGACAAGAAATGTAACATTTATGGTGCAGAGGTGTATATACATCAGAAATTCATATTCATTTAAAAAAACTTTTATTTTCCTGTTGATTTTTTTTTAAAGAAAATTTCAAAGGAAACAATAAATAATTTATCTTTACTACTGTGTCTAAAAGTAAGAAAATATTAGCCGGAAAAAATAAATATGAATGAAAATTGTTATATGTGTGGATTAATTTTAGATAATTTCAAAGTTATATATAATAATTATAAAAATTATAGATCTATATAATAATGATAATATAAAAATAATTACAAAATAAATACAAAAACTGTAAGGTGTTTACATTTTTGTATTTCTTACATTAGAACAGTGACTCTTATTTTCTAGAGCTTTCAATTATGTTACTTTGCTGATAAAAAGGAATGAAAAAAAGGTCATCAACTAAATATTTTTGTAAACAAAATCAAAAGTTTACAAAGTAGCTCAATCAGAAACACAGAAAAGAACAGTTCAAAGAAATCAAATTCATTTGAGTCCGAATCAAGATCTGGATTTGGGCCTGTGAATGGTCTCTTAGGCAATTCTGACCGATCGTTTGTCTTCCACTGAGAATATTCCACTTTTTCGTCCGCACTTTCATTTTCACTTTGACTGTCACTCGATCTATGGGATTGATTCTATCTCACTTTCACTATCGAGACTAATGTCACAATCCGAATTTACGCCATATTCCGTGTCCGTATCAAATATAATGTCAAATAAATTCTTCCGATTTTCCATTTTTTTAACGCAATATTACTTTTTTTCAGATAGAGATATTTCGATAAAATTTTCACTTTCGTATAGGTAAACCTTTATACTATAGATATAACGCGTTTCCTGATTGGTCAAAATACCTCAAATCTAAATATAACCCGTCGAAGCAACCAATGAAATGCGCCGTCATAACTCGTCACGCGGTATACAGTAGTAGTTAAATACGCGACGACTACTCTCGTCATGCGGGATAGCCGATAAATTTTATACGACGACTATACTCGGCGCGCGGTACACGATAACAGATAAAGACGACGACTATACTCGGCGTACGGGTCGAATGAGTTAAAAAAGAAAATTAAATTGTCCAAAATAATTTTATTGCTAGTTTAAAACAGCATAATTATAATGATATATACATGTGGATTGAGACTTTGTTAAATACTAGGTTTGCAAAACTAGATTCTATCTATTATGTTGATGATGAATACTCAAACAATGTATTGAACTTTTTAAATTAGCACATAATTAAGAAGAGCAGCTGGTGTTTGTATCTGATCCATTACTTCTTCATCCATAATAGGATTTCAGAACAAATAATATGAAATTTGTATCAATTTTTCTATCTGTTGAATCATATTAGTGCCTCAAGATTAAGGTTTATAACCATATCTAGTTGATGTGATGAGTACAAGACTCATGCCCTAAGGTTGCAATTGAACGTGTCATGCAAACATGTATCCCTTTTCCTCTCAGTTTTATAGGTGAACTATCTTTTTCAATAATGCCAAAACATTTCCCAGATGTCTTCACCAGGGTCAGATGATGATGTATCTTATGCAGCATTAAATAGGTTCAAGGTTTTAATTAGTAGTAAACATATGACAGGGAGGTCTGGACACATGTATAAATATCTTATTTTTTGCTCAGTCATCTGTATATATGTTGATTATGAATCAAAATTGCTTGATTGTGGAAATTGTTTCATAATCATTGCCTCCCCTTTGAGCTTAAGCTTCTTCATGAAATATATTAAATTCCTACTATAGTATTGTCTTCATTGTGTAAGGGATAAGTTTAACCCTTTCACTGCCATAGGGACGGCTTAAGCCGTCCCTGTTATTTTCGGCGTATTTCCCATATGGACGTCTTTAGCCGTTTTTATAATAATCATAATGATAATAATAAATTAATGATAATAATAAAAATAGTAATAAATATAAAGAAAATTATACCATCAACAATAATTATTATTATACTAGCATATTTGGAAACATATATAATTATTATAATACTAATAACAAATAATAATAATAATTATATTAATTAATGATATAGTAATTTCTTAGAAAACCCTGTGGCAAATAGGTGATCAATTAAACAATAACCCTCTGGCAGCAAAAGGGTTAAATAAATAATAGTTGTTTCTTGTCCGATGCCCATTATCTTCTTACATATGCCAAATTTCAATGCTTTCAGCTGCTATCATTTATTTCAATGATCCCCTCAGCCAGTTTGAACTTTGCTTTAATAGTTTTTAGCTCACCTGTCACAAAGTGACAGGGTGAGCTTTTGTGATCGCTTTTCGTCCGGCGTCCGTCCGTCCGTCGTCCGTCCGTCGTCCGTCCGTCCGTAAACTTTTACTTTAAATGACATCTCCTCATAAACCACTAAGCCAATTTCATCCAAACTTCACAGGAATGTTCCTTTGGTGGTCACCTTTAAAAATTGTTCAAAGAATTTAATTCCATGCAGAACTCTGGTTGCCATGGCAACCGAAAGAAAAAACTTTAAATATCTTCTTTTAAAAAACCATAAGAGCTAGAGCTTAGATATTTGGCATGAAACATCTTCTAGTGAGTGTTTACCAATTTTGTTCAAATAAAAGCCCTGGGTCAAAATTGGCCCCGCCCTGGGGGTCATTGATTTTCCCTATATGCATATAGTAAAAACTTAAAAAAATCTTCTGTTAAAGAACCCAAAGAGCTAGAGCTAAGATATTTAGCATGAAACATGTTCTAATGGGTGTCTACCAAGTTTGTTCAAATAAAAGCCCTGGGGTGAAAAATTGGCCCTGCCCCGGGGGGTCATTGATTTTCCCTATATGCATATAGTAAAAACTTAAAAAAATCTTCTTTTAAAGAACTCAAAGAGCTAGAGCTTAGATATTTGGCATGAAACATCTTCTAGAGAGTGTCTATCAAGTTTGTTCAAATTATAGCCCTGGGGTCAAAATTGGCCCCGCCCCGGGGGGTCATTGATTTTCTTTATATGCATATAGTAAAAACTTAAAAAATCTTCTTTTAAAGAACTGAAAGAGCTAGAGCTTAGATATTTGGCATGAAACATCTTCTAGTGAGTGTCTACCAAGTTTGTTCAAATAAAAGCCCTGGGGTCAAAATTGGCCCTGCACCGGGGGTCATTGATTTTCCCTATATGCATATAGTAAAAACTTAAAATATCTTCTTTTAAAGAACCCAAAGAGCTAGAGCTAAGATATTTAGCATGAAACATGTTCTAATGGGTGTCTACCAAGTTTGTTCAAATAAAAGCCCTGGGGTCAAAATTGGCCCCGCCCCGGGGGGTCATTGATTTTCCCTATATGCATATAGTAAAAACTTAAAAAATCTTCTTTTAAAGAACTCAAAGAGCTATGGCTAAGATATTTAGCATCAAACATGTTCTAATAGGTGTCTACCAAGTTTGTTCAAATAAAAGCCCTGGGGTCAAAATTGGCACTGCCCCGGGGGTCATTGATTTTCCTTATATGTGTATAGCAAAAACTTAAAAAATCTTCTTTGAAAAAAACCCAAATAGCTAGAGTTAAGATATTAAGCATGAAACATCTTTTAGTGAGTGTCTACAAAGTTTGTTCAAATAAAAGACCTGGGGTCAAAATTGGCCCCGCCCCGGGGGTCATTGATTTTCTTTATATGTGTTTAGCAAAAACTTTAAATCTTCTTTGAAAAAACCCAAATAGCTAGAGTTTAGATATTAAGCATGAAACATCTTCTAGTAAGTGTCTACAAAGTTTGTTCAAATAAAAGCCCTGGGGTCAAAACTGGCCCGGCCCCAGGGGTGTCATTGTTTTTAACTATATGTGTATAGTAAAAACTTAAAAAAAATCTTCTTTTAAAAAGCCCAATGAGCTAGAGCTTAGATGTTTAGCATGAAACATCTTCTTATGGGTGTCTACCAAGTTTGTGCAAATAAAAGCCCTTGGGTTAAATTGGCCCTGCAACGTTGGGGGGGGGGGGGGTGGGGGCCTATATACAGGTGAGCGACCTCAGGGCCATCATGGCCCTCTTGTTTAATTTTTAGCTCTTCTTTTCAATAAATGATATAGCAGTACTACTTACTGGGGCATTAGCTTCAGTATGACCGTTTGTAAAACATCATACATTTAAAGAATGCCACCAACACAGTTGGAATTGGAGAAAAAATTGTTGTAAATTAAAAAAATTCAATTTCTAAAGGAGTTTTAGACTAGCTAATAAAACTACTAAACATTTAATAAATAAAAGAATAGATTTCAGGTACGCATAGTGTATATCTACATGTATTTGCACAATTTTTGCAGTTGTTAGTGTAAAAGGTTGTTTGTACCTCCTGATTACATGTAGCTTGGAAACCTCCCCCCTGGACCCCCCCCCCCCCAATCTTAATGCCTTGCTTAAAAAATATATAATCAAATATGATATGTAATTGTTGTACATTTCAGGATGTAGTCCATTCGAAGCGACCACATGTGAAAACAGAGCGAATGCAAGAGTTCATAAGGGCACAGGATGAATTAAACAGTCCTACAAAAAAGCTTAAATGTCCTGAGGTGAACTGCAACAAGGTGTTTACAAGCTCTCCTGGTCTTAAATATCACTTGCATACACATACTGAGAAACAACCTCGCTTCTGCTGTAGAAAATGCCAAAAAGTGTTCAAAAGGTAAAACCTTGATGAATTTAATTTGATTTATGTAAGGGTAAAAAAGGGGAAAATGTTATCGACGATAATAAGAGGAGAAAAGGTTAGAGAGAAATGTTATGAAATTGAATTTACCAAAACACCTGCTTATGAAATGTGAAAATGTGATGAACTGAAATTTTACAAAGATGGAGTCCTACTTTTCTTGTTTATAGCACCTTTTCATTTAATTAATGTTTTGACACATGTTTAATTCTATACATGCAGTTGAGCACTCAATCGCTCACTGTGTAAATAATAATGGTATGACAATAAAATTGTACAAAGTGTGATTTACATGTAAATTATGAACATGTACAGTGGTCTTTAAAAACAACTAAAAAGAAGTATATGTCGGGCAAGACTAAGACTACAACCTTTATAGGGTTCAACTTTAAGAACACGGCTTATATGTATACAATTTTATAAACTTATATTGTTGCATTAAAGATTGTATGTACTACATTTGAAACCAACAGTAGCTTAGTAAAGGCCACTGAATGTTTGAATGTTATGGATCAGTACTACTAGACAATAAGTCAATATATATGGAATATTATGTTGTAGAGACTTTGTATTTTGCTATGAGTAGTGTTGGATAATTGATATCTCGCGAGATGCTGTGAGAAGCAAAATACATAGCCTCGGAAAGCTGCAACATCATAATTTTCTTTTTATTACATATCTATACATGAAAAGACAAGAAAAGAATTTTAATAAACTGAACTTGTATTAGTTATTTGAGAAACATAACTAGAGCTGTCAAAAAAAAAATACAGTTCACAAATGACAGATTAATATGTAAATTTACTAAATTATGCAAATGAGACCACACCTTCAAAAGTTTTGGTTCCCATTTAGACAGTTAAGAAAAAAATGTCCAGAACTAAGTGAGTTCTATATATGGTGCCATATTTGTCACTAACATTATACCAATTTTTCTATCTGGTGAATCATATTAGTGCTTCAAGATTTACGTTTATTTTAGGGAGAAATTTTATAGATATTTAGTAAAGTTGTATATATGTAAGAGGATATTTATTAGGTTCATGTTTTTTTCAGTGCTAATGGGTTAAAATACCACAGGGAAAAGACACGATGTGATGACTCTGATATAGAACCATCTTATCTACCAGACAGTTTCCTCATCAACACTGAAGACACTCTCTGTGGTATTGTAATTCATATTCTGTCTAGATTATTTCAATCCTTAATCTGATAAGCTGAAAGTGATCAGACTTTTCCATCAGTATAGAGTCAAGCCAGTCAGACTTGTTGACTATATTTTCATCAGGATATCCCCATAATTGATGAAACAAAAAAATGCCAAAAAATGCATTGATGGTTGTGTCCGATCAACAAATATGTCATTCCTGGTCATCCTGGATAGATTAAAAGAACTTGGCATATATGAGCCGCGTCATGACAAAACCAACATAGTGGGTTTGCGACCAGCATGGATCCAGACCAGCCTGCGCATCCGCGCAGTCTGATCAGGATCCATGCTGTTCGCTATCAGTTTCTATACTTGTAATAGGGTTGATAAGCGAACAGCATGGATCCTGATCAGACTGCGAGGATGGGCAGGCTGGTCTGGATCCATGCTGGTCGCATACCCATTATGTTGGTTTTGTCATGACACGGCTCATATGTGTTCTATACAAGGATTACAACGTGTAGCAGGTCTCCAGCTTGGCGTTCAAAGTCACATTTTTATGTCAAAAGTAATGATAGGAATTTTTTATAGAGATGCATTGATGATCATGTCTGGTTAACAAATCTGTCATTAATGGGAGGAAATAAAATAACTTTTCATTTGTTTTTTACAAAATCAGGTTTCCAGCTCAAAGGTCAAGGTAACATTTTTATGCCCCCACAATGTGGGTGCATATAGCGTTGCACTTGTCCGTCTGTCAGTCCGTCAGTCCGTCCGTCCGTACGTCCCGAAATCTTGTGAACGCAACTCCTCTTAAACCGGATGGCAGATTTTGCTTAAACTTACAGGGATGAACAACCTTAATATGTAGATGGTAGTAAAGGAAGGAATTTTTGCTGTGACCAAATTTAACAGAATTATGGCCCTTTGTTGATTTTTTACTAGATACTATATAGAAATTTTGTGAACGCAACTCCTCTTAAACCGGATGACAGATTTTGCTTAAACTTACAGGGATGAACAACCTTAATGTGTAGATGGTAGTAAAGGAAGGAATTTTTGCTGCAACCAAATTTAACAGAATTATGGCCCTTTGTTGATTTTTTCACTATATACTATGTAGAAATTTTGTGACCGCAACTCCTCTTAAACCGGATGGCAGATTTTGCTTAAACTTACAGGGATGAACAACCTTAAGGTGTAGATGGTAGTAAAGGAAGGAATTTTTGATGCGACCAAATTTTACAGAATTATGGCCCTTTGTTGATTTTTTCACTATATACTATGTAGAAATTTTGTGAACGCAACTCCTCTTAAACCGGGTGGCAGATTTTGCTTAAACTTACAGGGATGAACAATCTTAAGGTGTAGATGGTAATAAAGGAAGGAATTTTCGCTGCGACCAAATTTTACAGAATTATGGCCCTTTGTTGATTTTTTCACTATATACTATGTAGAAATTTTGTGAATGCAACTCCTCTTAAACCAAATGGCAGATTTTGCTTAAACTTCCAGGGATGAACAACCTTAATGTGTAGATGGTTTTAAAGTAAGGAATTTTTGCTGCGACCAAATTTAACAGAATTATGGCCCTTTGTTGATTTTTAGTTTTCAACTTGTGGCACATGTAGTCCAAAAAATATTTGACCTAGAGTCATAAGATTGACAGAACAGTGGCGTGTGGGGGCATCCGTGTCCTATGGACACATTTCTAGTTATATCCAAAGTGATAATATAATTGTGAATAGATGGTAGTGTCTAGTCAATGACTGTCATTTATAGTTAATAGTTAATGGACTGTTCCAAATTCAAACCTGGCAAAATCAATAACACAAATTCAGTTGACTTAAGGCTTTACATTATACATTTCAGATAGCGATTCTCAGCATGGTGAAACTATAGGCTCTCCATCGAACCTCAGGACATACAGTATTCCCCACAGTTCTTCTGAGGGTATAGATAAACTAACAGAACTAGCCATAATAGCAACAGGTCCACAGAGTCCATTACTAGACAAATGGAAACCACCGTGGGATACCAAACCTAGGTATTGCCTTGATATTTCTTTTTTAGGATTTTCTTTCAAAAGTTGCGCATGATTTTTGGCAGTACAGAGATGAAAATAGTTCCAGTGTTAACATGTTGTTGAAAGGTTATTTTATTGTATAATCTGGAATGAGGCACAACCTTTTATAAATATGATAAAGTAAGTGCCTGAGACTTCTTTTATGATATACTGGTGTCCAAATTGTCTGTCAGTCCCTTATCATGAAAATGAAATTATCCTTTTTGTTAATTCCCACATTATCCAGGCTCTTATTTTACTATCAAGTACTGAGAATAGTGAAGTATGCTGTCCTACTGACAGCTCTTGTTATATGATATTTAACGTATGTTTGCCAGTAGGCTTAATTCTTGTGATGTTTAAATGTTGTAATGAAGAAAAACTTAATTAATGGAGAAGAATATTAGCTATTAGACAGGGCTGCAGATAACATGCATATTTGCATAATATTACCTGATTAAAATGTCAAATGCAATAGAAATAATAATTAAGGTTAAGAAAAAGTAAATAAATTCTTATTTATGCAAACTACTTTTGAACTGCACCCAATTCTATAAACGTTGGTAAACTTTAACCATTAGGATTAATTCAAGGTTAAGTTAACTTCTTGGATTAAACTTTGGTTAACCGATTGTATAAAAGTTTTGTTAAATTTAACCAGCGTAAATTTCTGGTTAAATTAACCCACGTATAGGAGGTGGGTTAAATTTTAACCAAATGTTAACCAGAAATAAAATGGCTGCCGTTTGTACGTTTCGTCTCAACTTTTGTTCATTTTTGCTTCGAAATAGACTATTATCGGTTGTGTATGATGGCAACGATATTTCTTTATGTTGCGTTGTGACGGGAAACGGAAACAAACTTTTCCAGAGCCGGAAATAAACAGTTTTAAAAATCAGCTGTCAGTGTCGATAATTCGGATAAGGCATGATACAAAATGTCATTTTAAACCGATTGAATGAAGATCATGCTTAGGTTAATACTGAGAATAAACTTGAAGGACAATTATAGATAAAATTACGAAGTCATTCTGGACCAGTACGCAGCGGGAGATCCCTGGAAAGACAAACATGAGGCTGTATACTTTGTGATTGATCAGTGAATTTTATTTCGATCAACACATATGTGTGCGTTTTCGTGTAATTGTCAATAACCACATGACTTATTAAAGATTTACAGACTGAAAGGATATATCACCTTAGAGAATTCTCTTGCTGAACTTATCATGATGAAGAAGGTATGATAATGCATTTAACTTTTTGTGCCACTGTCAGTTAAACAGTTTGCATGACTTTTTGTGTTTTTGTTGTGTTTTGTGTATAAAACCATTATCTGATATGAAAATTGGCAAAACAAAGGAACGAAGTCATATAAAAGAATGTATTTTGTTCATTCCATATTTCATGCACTGTTCTGCTTTTTAACAATTATTTTTCCTAAACCAAAAAGTCAAGATTGCTCAGGCCTTGATATCTTGTTGTCATGTCACTAGCAAAAACAAGCCAAATCATGGCAGGTTGTTTCGCAGTATGTGGCACCATGACACATTGTCGCTTGGCTCAAATTGAAAAATTAGCTTATTGAGGCTTAAATCTGCTTTGTTGCTGGCGACAACGACTCAATTAAGCCATGTGATAACACAGTAAGAAGTCATTCCCTCGTTATAAGCCAAGAGACATGGGGATAACATGCCACAGTCTGGCATGTTTTGTAGCGCCCAGGAAAAAAGGCGATTAACAACAACGCAACATGCAAAAGTGTAACATATCGGCCACCACACTAGAAAGAGGTCAAAATATGCAAAAAGTCCTTAAGCTGCGGTCTCACTTACTCCCGGCAGAGCCCAGGACCATGATCCCGGTAAGTTACCGGGATAATCCGGGGTGAAATTATTGTTGTGGTCACACTTACAGAGCAGAGCTAAGGATAAAGCCGGCAAAGCTATTCTTCCCGGATCATCCCGAACCACCCCAGTGATATTAAATATTTTATTCTATCCGGGGTCGAATGTTCCCGGATCATCCAGGATGTTCCCGGCAGAGTTACGGTTGTACCCAAGTTGTCTACCGGGGCTCTGCCGGGATGTTAGTGAGACTGTAGCTTTACTGCATTAGTCATACAGTAGAAATATAGTGAAATATGGTGATGATACTGAAAAATCAATCATCAGTTGTTCAAAACTGTCATAAAAAATATTACTAAAAACTTGAATTTTACTTTTCTTTAAATCCTAGGACAATGTACATTTTGCTAAGCTTGTGTCCTTAAAATATTTTGGCTCATTTTGTGTAAAATTAGTCAAAAAGATTTTTAATGTGTATTAAATAGTTTCCAGATACATTGATAATCATTTTAGCTCTATCAAGCAGATTCCAAAATGAAAATACTGTAAGACATATAATCATGCTTATTTTTCACAATCTTTAAAAAAAATCCTAATCAAACTGAAATTTGGAATATCAAATGCAATAAAGTTAGTTATTGATTAAGTTCATTCCGATTTTGTTAAAGATATATGTGTCACAGTGTGTTGTTGTTTTTTTTGGTAGAGTACAATAATTTTTTTTCAATAATTTAGGAAGATTTCCCTGTTGAAAAACTTGCTTTTTCCTAATTTTATCAGCAAAATTTCCAAAATGATGACTTAGGCAATTTGTCTTCTCATCAAAGGTTGATAAAGGGCTTGTTTATTTCTAGTAGCATGGAAAAGAAACAATGTCATCTTCTGATGAAAATCAAACTGTTTTTATTTAGTTTTTAAAGAAAGTTATACAGGCTTCATGATCATGAAGTCATATATTTAATTATAAAGTTATTTTATCAACCTTTTAACTTTCAACTTTTAAAATGTCCAAAAATAGCCTCAATGTTTTCCCAATAAAGGTCTTTTCTCAAATTAACTAAATTTAGTCTCATATATTTTATAACAACACTGACACATTCTTCAGAATTAAACTGAACAACAGGATATTTGTTCTCACTAATAAAGTATTGAAAATATTTTGGATAGGAAGCTGCTTTAGGTCTGCTTTAATGTGACACAATATAGTACTGAATGGGAAAAAGGCAATTCTTAACATTAATATTTATATTCTATATGTACTCAAACAGAAATACATTTTGATTTTACAATTACATGTACTTTTGTCCATTTCTTGTATTATTATTATATTGAATTAAACTGCTTTGTCTCTAAAATACTTCTTCTTTACACAATGTAAACTATGAAAGTAAATATATTTATGATTGAACTCAGATGAATGAAAGCATTATTAAAGCATATTTAGCATTATACCTTGGAAATGGCCATGTGGAGATATTCAATATCTCATCCCCATTGTTACTCTTGATATTTCTTAGATGGGGAGGGAGGGGGTTAATAAATAAGCAATAAATAGAGGGAGGGAGAGAGAGATTTAGACCATTATTCCATTGTTCAATGATGATGTATTTTATTTATTAAATAATTTATTCAGACTTTCAATGTATATGAAAATATTTTACAAAATTATAATATCTTAACAATATATAGAACTCTAGAAAACATATTTGGACACTTTTTCATTTTTAACCAGTTATAGACTATGCACTTATTAAACTATATTATATAACTTATTGTTTATGGTAACAGTCATACACTATTCATTACATTATGTATATATATTGAGACCCTGGTTTACCTACTTCAATGACATATAGCCTATTCCTAAAGGTACTGGACTAGTATAATGTTGGCCAGTGACAGGTTCCAATCATTCATTAAGTGTTAAGTATTTTTATTTACAAGATCCATGTATAAGTAATAAATATATAAGATCTAAGAATTCCTAAACAACATCAATAAAAATAATTCAAAATTGAAGTAGAGGTAAATTAAAAATCACTTTTGATTGTTCATAAATTAATTAATTATGGTATATTCAAGATGACATTTTTTTTTATAATTATTTTTCATTTAGTTTCTCCTCTGTTTAGTAAATTTACTGCTGGGAACCAAGTCAATTTTGCATTTGAGTGTTGTGACTAGTGAGAATTAAAGTTAAAACATGTTGAATGTTTAAAATAAAGGATGTCAGCCATACAGTCACAAGAAAGCAAAATGATTTTGTTTTCATTTATGTGTTTTTCATATATTTTGTTTGTTTGTTTTGTTGTTGTTTTGTTTTTTATTTTTTTTATTTTTTTTTTTTGGGGGGGGGGGGTAATTAGCAATAAGTAGACTTTTATTTTATTATTTATTTTGCTATAATATGGTAAACTTTCAGTATTTTAAAAGCTCTTCTATCATGAAACATAGCTTTGGCAAATGCAACAAGATTTTCCCAAGTGATTGATATGGTATTTAGTAACTGAAACAGAAGTTTCATATATTATATAGTGAAACTACAGAGAGTAGTTTGGGGCAAAATCATTCAAAAATTGCATCTGCTGTTACACAAAATAATTTGGGTTCGAACGTTTTAGGTACGAATCTGATAGAAAATATATGCGTCAATACTTCTGCATTGAGTGGTTCTTGTATGAAATTAGTTACATTCTAACCATTTTCTGTCCCAGTTGACGGATGATTTTGATTTATAACATTATATCAGCGAATATTTGCTCATTTGCAGTACTTTTTAATTTGTAAACAAAGCCCATAGCAACCATGCAAGTTATTCGTACCTAAACACCAGTTCCGAGGTCATAAACAAGTTCATCCTACGTAAAAGTTATATTCTGTACATTTGTTTAATGATAATATGTAATTAGTGTGGTGACAATTAACATCTTAATTGAAAATTTGAACCGATTTTAACTCTACTATCAAAATTTTCGATTGTAATAAAGATGGGAGCGTAAACCATGTGTCAATTTTGACATATTCCGCGAAAACAACATGACCGGATATAGAATTTATTGCATGTCGGGATTAGTATTGGTTAGTTTAACCAGCGGTTAACTTTAACCATTTTGGTTAGTTAACCTTTTGGTTATCCCGGTTTATACAAGAGACTAACCAAATTGGTTAGTTAACCAAAGTTGGTTAAATTTAACCCAGGGTTAGCGTTTAACCCAGGGTTAATTTAACCAACGTTTATACAATTGGGTGCAGGTGCGTAATGACGTAAATTATACTGAACGCTGTACATCAGGCAGATCATACTGTTTCAGTCAGCTTAGAAATCTCTTAGGCCAATAAACCATAAAGCATAGTAGTAAGTAGCTTTTTTATTACCATACAACACCTACAACAGTCTACAATAAAGGTCAGAAATTTGGGTAAAATACATGAACTTGGGCTTTATAACCCAAATTTGTTAGAGAGGGTAGGGTAAAAAATACAGAAATAACTCTAAGAAAATAGAAAAAAAAACAATATTTCACAAAACAAGAGGTAATTACCCAATATACACAAAATGTTATCTGTAGCCCTGATTAGAAAAGATGATTAAACACTGGCAATTTAAAATTGTGTATATTTAAATTTTTTGTTTATAAGTTTATTAAGATTTTAGATACATTTTAAAAGAGCATGTGATTTTATTTTTGTTTCAGTGGACATGTGAAAAGGTCGCTAGAGAAGATGTTAGGAAATTGTGAAAGTTTTCATACATGTATCTCACCTGAAATACAGGGCAGCTCAAAAATAACTGATCTCAAACCATTAGATAATCAGCATACTTCATTCAATGACAGGTAGCTTTTACTATTCATGCATGACTTTGATATTGTTACAAGCTTAGTTTTCTTAAATTCATTTTCAATACTAAATTCTGCTCCACAGGCTTCAAACAACCATATGGTCTTTCCTTCTTGCTAACATCAGTAAACATGGGGTGTCCATTTTTGAGTGGTTAAGGTTGTTGACACAGACCACCTTAGCACTGTGGATTTAAATCCCGCCTATGTGTTAGAATTCTTTTATGTTAGGAAGCTATTAAGCTAGGTCACAAAATGTAATTGGTGATTCTACTCCGGTGCACCTTGTGTCTTCCTCAACTATTTAAGGTTGTTTTACTGTAATGCTTTCCTGACAAAAAATTACTAGGATAGGCCAATATTGTAATAAATTGGTCATATCCGCAATTTTATAATTCACAATTTTGTGTATTCAATTATTTTTTTACTGATTATAACCTGAATCTAGTATATAGTGATAAAGGATGAGTGATCGGAAATAATCTCATGCCCAAGAATTTGAAAAAATAACATTCAGGCAATAACCGATTTGCTACAAAATTGGCTGATACTATATTTTTTTTTGGCAGGATTAAAGCTGGAAAGTTGCCATATAACCATTACTGTGTCATTGTGACTTTAATCAAAACAAAAAATATCAGTTTCGAAAAATGTGTTTATTTTTCAGTATCTGAATGTACTCTTTAGGGTTTTAAGCATTAGTGTTCATAATTTGTTCCTTTTAGAATGATAACATCAATATTTCAGATGTGCTCTTTACAGTCTGATGAAAGCACCCAATCATTTGCATATTTATAATTGTGTTAAAACCCAAGTGACCATTTAGAATACTGATAAAATCACTCTGAGGAGCTGATTTTGGATTATTGGAGTGAAACACCCAAGTTTGTGCATAAGTAAAACTAACAGAGAATTCAGTGGCCAAGTGGTTATGATTGCCATCTTCAAATCACTTGCCCCTCACTGTTATAGGTTCGAATCTTGTCAGAGACTTTGGATTCTTTCATGTGTGGAAGCTATCCAGTTAGCTTATGGAAGGTTGGTGGTTCTATTAAGGTACCACCTCGTGCCTGAAATAATGTACCAGGTATTAAGGGACTTCTGACATGAAGTCTTCTTCCATGAGCAAAGCTGAAGAGTCACCGGTGATATGACTTTTACAGTGACTTAAAGTATAATAAGAAGAAAGAGAAACTGATATTGCAAATAATCTCTACTGAATATCAGCTTGTTTAGTTAACATAGACTCTTAAACACATTTGAATCTTCTTGTGGGAAACTACAATGCTCACACATTAGATGTTTGTCATGTGGCATTGTAAAGCAGAACTCTATTTAAGTTATATGTATGAATCAAGCCCCTGAGATGAAAACTTGTTTTGCCCTCAGTATGAACTTATATAGGATTATAAAAAAAAAACACATTTAAAACGTCCTAGCCTTTTTCTTGTTTTCTTTTAAATGTTTTTAATTAAGACAGTACACCTCCGCAGATCAAATTGAGAATTTTCTATATATATATGAAACTGTTGTGATATATTTTCAGGGACTTAGATGGTAGTGATCCACATGTATCTTCAAGTTCCCCACTGTTGTTCTCGCCAAATGAAACAAATAAATATGAAACATACACATGGTCTCATACCTGGCCTACAACTGTTTGGCAGTGCTTTATAAAAGGTTTGATATTTTACTGTGAATTAACTTATATTCGTGGACATGAAATTTCATGGTTTTATTAAAACGGGGATTTTCGTGGGTTCTTAATTTCATGGATTTTTTTTTCTTTATGAACGCAAAGTTATCTTACACTTAATTGGTGTGCACCTGCCACGTTTTAACCAGGGAGTTTAAAAAGTTTACACCCTGAATCGGTCTTACCTTATTTGACGTAAATTACATGCAGCGTCACATCTACCGTGTAAATTTACATGCATATATTACGAGTAAATGGCACGAGAATGTGTGGATCTAGAAAAACAAGGTCAGTGGAATCTTTGATGTTTACGGAATAGCAGTCGCACAAATACAGATTAAAATTCATGTAAACTGGATGATTTACAAACTTGTTAAAGTGCAACAAAAGAATGAACTATTCATCTGTTGTAGTGATTTTTTTTTTTATTATTGTTTTGTGTACTTTACTTACAACTTTAATATCAAAGACATTTCTTAAAGTCAATTAGATTGGCAGTTATTTTGTGCAAACTGACAATTTTTTATCTGTGCTAATAAATACACTGGATTCCCGCAGTTACTTGATTATCTCAAGTATTCTGGCTGACACAATCAAGTAGCTGATAATGATCAATGTACTACCCTGTGATGTTTATATATGATCGAGATTTGTGACAGCAAATTGAAGACATATAATCAACTTCTCTTTCAAGTTTCTTTAATATTGCAAGCCTGAACTATTTATAGGTATAATCTGTCACTAACCTGATTATCTGTATACATTCATAACTGTTAACATAATAATCGGCTGAAAAAAGCCAACACATGTTTGTAATACATAGCTAAGGATAGAGACATGGTAAAAAGTATTTGTTGGGATGAAATTTTGTCAGATCTTAAATTCGTGAATTGACTTACCCACGAAAACCACAAAATTTGTGCCCCATGAATAAAAATGATTTTGCAGTAACTGATAAACATTTGTCCAACAGTGCTTTATTTAAGGTTTGATATATTAACTGATGTATATTTTCTAAAGTGCTTTATTAAAGGTTTAATAGATTAAATGCTTTATAATTGTCTAGCTGTGCTTTTTATGGTATTATGCATATTTGATTGAGACATGTTTACATATCTTTGTTTATTGCTGCTATTATTCTACTATTCTATGCTTACAGGAACAAAGGTCAAGTTTTTGTCACAAGAAGACAGTAGATGGCAGTTGGCAGAACTAATAGCACAGAAAGAGGAACTTAATGAGCAAGCATCTTTAAGAAGGACCTCATTAAAGTAAATATATAGTTATACAACTTATAGATAATAGATAATAAAGTAAATCCACTTTCTATTGCATAATAAGCAATGCTGTTTAAAAAGTTATCAGCTTTTCTGAAGGTTAAATATCTTATTTTTAGATAAATCATTTCATATTAATGTCAGATCAAAAGAATTACGGTGGAAAATGAAATTTGCCTACAATAAAATACATAAACAATCAGAAAACCCCTCAATACTTCTTTTGGTCCGCTCTCTATATTTAAATTAGTAAAGTGGACGATTCTTTTCCCAATCTTCAATTTTTAGAAACAACAGAGCAACAGATAAGGTGCGTATTTACGTATTTATGCAATTAATTTTATAAAATACGCAATTGATTTTTTAAGAATGCATATCAAAACTCATTTAAAAAGATAAAAATTAATACGCAATTGTCTTGAAAACCAGAGCGTATTGTCATTTTCATCACCGCAAAATTAATTTGTAGTACGCTCGTAGTTTTGGACAAATTATATTGATATGCATGCTATCCAAATATTCCCAAATCAATGCTAATTAATCAACGGTCTTGGACAGTCCTTGGTCTCCAAAGACCGACTAAGCTATATCAATAAAGCATCAATAAAGCGTTGATTGTCTACTCAGGTCGACGTTCTTTACAGACTGGCAGAGACCGTTGATTTTCCAGGGACCGTCAATAAGTAGGTCCCATCTGTATCAATATACGCTTTGAAAGCTATATGGCATAGTACAAAAGGGAAAATGATTTGAAACAAAACAGTCATAAATAATCAAAAATCAGTCAGAAAACGAACTTGTTAAAAATTTATGAAATATAACCTGAGCATTTTATATAAAAATAAAGCAATTGTGAAAAGTTCTAGTAAATTGTTAATCATATTATCTTTTTAAAACACCATAAATTCATATATTCATAATTGAATACCCAATTGATCTTGAAATCATAGGGTATCGAGTTTTGGAATAGCCAATTAAATGGAGCCAATACCCAATTCCAAAGGAAATGATGCAGTAATACCCAATTCACTTTAAAAGCTTATCTGTTGCTCTGAACAAATGACACTGACATGTTGAATATTCAAACTATGGTGGCTTTGGTATGGAAATAATGCTAACAGGGCATATTTTTGCAGAAATAGGGAAAGGAAGATGCCATAAAACTTTGGGAAAATTACATGATATTTTTTGCAATGGCAGGAGGAAATTGAATTCAAGGAGAAAAATGCATGATTTTCAAAAAAATCCTTGGTGGGGAGGAGGCCTGTAAATGCGATTTTCAAAATAAATTAGATTATGTAACCACCATAATTAGGAAATAAGTGACCTGGAAGACCCTAGGTCAAAGGTCAAGGTCTCGGCAGGGATTGAACCAAGTATATATGAAATATATTCTTAATTGCAGTTGTCCATTAACATATGCATTAATGATGGGATTTCATCATTGATTAGTACACATGATGGTGTGTTGGGTTCAAAAACCAATGTTACTATATCAAAGGTATAGGTCACAGCAGAGGGTTAGACTTAGCGTTTTTCTAATATGTTCTTAACTGCAGTTAAAACCTGCAATTTTATTTTAGAAACCCATTCTATAATTCAAAAAATTGTTATTTCATGTTCATATATGGTCCAAATTTAGTAATGATTGATGGCATTGCCTTAAAATTCAGAACTTATAAACACCATGGAATACTTTTAACAGATGCTGCTAATATTTAATAATTTCAAACCTATTTTGCTGGGACATCAGTGTCCTATGGACACATTTCTAGTGGCATTTCCATTTTAGTTAAGAATTATATCAGTCAATTGCATAAAAAAATCCCTATTCTTCTAATATTTATTGATTTATATATACTTTTCTATTCAAAGTGTTTTCTGACAAGCAGTAACTAGCTGTTAAAACTCCCAGCTAGCATAAGTCTCTTAGTTGTAGATGATGCAATCTTTATTACAGTTATGCTCCAAATGGACTTCAGGTAGTTAAATTGAAAGATGATGACATTGATGAACCAGAGATGAGCATTTATTTTACACCAGCTGTACCAGGTCAGCAGGATATTACAGTGATATGTCAGAGAGATCATCCCTTCTTTGTTAAAGATAAAGGTAATTTTAGAATAAGCCAAGTATTCATGTAATATTTGTCCAGACCATTCTTGAAAGGTCATTAGAGATGATGAAAATGTCCAGATGGTGCCCAGAACATAATATGTTTTACATTTATGGATTGGTTTTAGTATAAGTTGATGCAAATGTGGACAATTTGCAAGTGGCGGCTTGACAGTATGGTTAGCACGTCAGACTAGTATTCTAAGGATTACTGACTGCATAGGTTTAAACCCTGTCAGAGCAAGCTGTTGTTTCCTTCAACAAGAAAATTTCCATTCTTTACTTACTAGCAGCGGATTCAAGAGTGTTTCAAGAGCTTATAGCTTCCAACACAATCAAATGAAATAAATTTGTACATGTATAAACTAAATGTTGACCAACAGGTAACATAGACCCACAACAGGCATAAACCATGTCATACTTGAGGACACAAGAAATTATTTGACACAAGCTCAACTTTTACATGAGTTAAGGGACTTTACTGTAACATGGCTTAAATGTTCATCATTATGAGACATTGTTATGTACAAAATTCAGGTCTCTCTGACCAAGGTCAAAGGTAAGATGAAGAATATGAAAATTTGTGTTTGGGCAACTTTGTATTCTTGAACTGAGGGATTATATCGCAAATGTTGACAGTTTCCAATCATGAGACTGCAAATTGTCAGGATAGTTCAGGTCAATACAGTTAGACCTTGTTCACTCCAACTTGGATTGCTAGAGAACCTGTCTTGCTTTGAATTAGTGATTTTAACACATTGTAATTATGATAAAGGCAGTTAAAGTTAATTGATTGAAAATGAGTGGTGTAATAATCTAACTATTACTATATTGTTATCTGACGGTCTTTAATTATGAAACAAAATTTTAATGAGTGTAATTAAAAATAAAAAGAAATGATTTAAAAGATGTAACTTGCATAAAACCAGACCTGTTGCATTTCTTAATTTCTATCTTATGTTATCTTATGTAAAACCAGGATAATCTTCAAGCTTGTGTCCTCTGTAAAGTAGGATGTTTTCATACATGATAATACATAAACCACAATTAGCTCAATTTGTTGATCTGTTGAACAAATTTTCACAGGCCTCTAATTTGGTCATGGTCAAATGTTTTTTTGACAGATATCTTCTTGAACTTGTAAAGGATATAAAAATTCATAATTTCCAATCATTATCTCGGCTACAAATGCGGGGGCATTCGTGGTGTTACACATTTTTAGTTTGTTTTCATTTTGCATTTTAGGATGGTGCTCGTCTAATCCTTTTGAGACTGTAATGCATTATGGGATACCTTGCTGTGATTTATCTGTTGGAGATGTATGTTTACCTCCATCTCACCCTGAAGCAGCTTCATCAGAAGAAATCTTTAAAAGTTTCGAAGAGTAAGTTTGTTTTGTTACCCCTCTTTGATGAAATTGAAAAATGGTATTGAATTTATGTTGTTTTTTTTGGGTCAGTTTTTGGGATTAAATTTAAAATAAAAATTGGCTGAAAAATTAAAAGAAAAAAAATCCCCCGAGAGTGTTTCACTATGGTTTTTTTCTTGGCATTATTTAAAAGGGCTCCACTAGGTCAAAAAACCCGAAAAGCATAACACTTTTGAAATTCTTCTAAATCTACTGGAAGCTTTACAATGAGAAAAATTTGAAGGTAATTAAGAAATTCTCGGATAAAATTGAAATAGCATCTTTTTTGGGCCATGTTGCACAACATATGTTATTCTAGAAAAACGGTAGGAAATGATCTGAAATGTGCCAAGTTATGATCAAACATTCATATTGTAATATTTGTTTTGATTCCATTAATTTTTATTGCAGATGAATTAGTGAATCGCATCAATACTACTCAGGGTTAGTTTAATGAATAGGCTGAATTTTTTATTAGACTCACCTGTCCAAAGTGACAGGTGAGCTTTTGTGATCGCTTTTCGTCCGGCGTCCGTCGTCCGTAAACTGTTTTACTTTTAAATGACATCTCCTCATAAACCACTAGGCCAATTTCATCCAAAACTTCACAGGAATGTTCCTTTGGTGGTCACCTTTAAAAAATTGTTCAAAGAATTTAATTCCATGCAGAACTCTGGTTGCCATGGCAACCGAAAGAAAAAACTTAAAAATATCTTCTTTTAAAAAACCCAAAGACGTAGAGCTTAGATATTTGGCATGAAACATCTTCTAGTCAGTGTCTATAAAGTTTGTTCAATAAAAGCCCTGGGGTCAAAAATTGGGCTTCGCCCCAGGGGTTCATTGATTTTCCATATATGCATATAGTAAAACCTTAAATAATCTTCTTTTAAAGAACCCAAGGAGCTAGAGCTAAGATATTTAGCATGAAACATTCTCTAATGGGTGTCTACCAAGTTTGTTCAAATAAAAGCCCTGGGGTCAAAATTGGCCCCGCCCCAGGGTCATTGATTTTCCCTATATGCATAAAGTAAAACCTTAAAAAATCTTTCTTTTTAAAAAACCCAAAGAGGTAGAGCTTAGATATTTGGCATGAAACATCTTCTAGTCAGTGTCTACCAAAATTTGTTCAAATAAAAGCCCTCGGGTCAAAATTGGCCCCGCCCAGGGGGTCATTGATTTTCCCTATATGCATATAGTAAAACCTTAAAAATCTTCTTTTAAAGAACCCAAAGAGCTAAGAGCTAAGATATTTAGCATGAAACATCCTCTAATGGGTGTCTAACAAGTTTTGTTCAAATAAAAGCCCTGGGGCAAAATTGGTCCGCCCCAGGGGGTCATTGTTTTTCCATATATGCCATATAGTAAAACCTTTAAAAAATCTTCTTTTAAAAAGAACCCAAGGAGCTAGAGCTAAGATATGTGGCAATGAAACATCGTCTAATGGGTGTCTACCAAGTTTGTTTCAAATAAAAGCCCTGGGGTCAAAATTGGCCCCGCCCCAGGGGTCATTGATTTTCCCTATATGCATATAGTAAAACCTTAAAAAAATCTTCTTTTAAAACCCAAAGAGGTAGAGCTTAGATATTTGGCATGAAACATCTTCTAGTTAGTGTCTACCAATTTGTTTCAAATAAAAGCCCTGGGGTCAAAATTGGCCCCGCCCCAGGGGGTCATTGATTTTACCTATATGCATATAGTAAAACCTTAAAAATCTTCTTTTAAAGAACCCAAAGAGCTAGAGCTAAGATATTTAGCATGAAACATCCTCTAATGGGTTTCTACCAAGTTTGTTCAAAATAAAAGCCCTGGGGTCAAAATTTGCCCCGCCCCAGGGGGTCCATTGATTTACCCTATATGCATATAGTAAAAAACTTGAAAAATCTTTTTTAAAAACCCAAAGAGCTAGAGCTTAGCTATTAAGCATGAAACCTCTTCTAGTGGGTGTCTAACAAGTTTGTTCAAATAAAAGCCCTGGGGTCAAAATTGGCCCCGCCCCACGGGGTCATTGTTTTACCTTTTATGTATATAGTTCAAACATAAAAAATCTTCTTTTTAAAAAATCTTAAGAGCTAGAGCTAAGATATTTAGCATGAAACATCTTCTAATGGGTGTCTACCATTTTTGTTAAATTAAGGGCTCTGGGTGTTAAAAAATTGGCCCCGCCCCGGGATCATTGATTTTCCTTTTATGTATATAGTAAAAACTTAAAAAATGTTCTGTTAAAAAGCCCAAAGAGCTGGGGACAAAATTGGCCCGCACAGAGAGGGGGGGGGGGGGGTCATTGTTTTTCACTATATGTGTATAGTAAAAACTTAAAAAATTTTCTTAGAGCTAGAGCTTAGATATTTATCATGAAACATTTTCAAATGGGGATCTACCAAGTTTGTTCAAATAAAAGCCCCTGGGGAGCCCCGCCCCAGGGGCCTATATACAGGTGAGCGATTTCAGGGCCATCATGGCCCTCTTGTTCTACATGTAATTACATGAGGCTGCAACCTAGAAAGGTCTTTGTAACATTTAAAAAAGTTGAAATTATCAATTTGATATTTTTCACTGTTTTGAATGTAAACCTGTTACATTGTTTCAGTGAAATACCAGCGTGCATAGTACTGGAAACCAACTTAATGATGTGACGTTGTAAATGAAGTCACATTGTGTCAGTACATGGTGCGGTTTTCATTTAGCATTAGGTTAAAATGTCTTTTTAAATGTTTCTTTGCATATGATAAAAATGTGTTTAGTTTAGTATAAGATCGAAATATATTTTACCTTGTGAGCACTAAAAGTTCACATTTCACTTGTGGCTGCGCCACTCGTGAAATATACCTGTTGGTGCTCAATCGATGAAATATATTCTGATCTTATACCTAACTAAACAAATATCCTCTACTTGATTAACACAGATCAGATTTTTTATGTGTGTTGTAAGGAAATGTTGCTATATTACAAGTGATGTTGCTGTTGTTTTCAGATTTGAATTTACGCCTGCAGATACATCAGCAGTGTTTGCTCTAAGCAGTATGAAGGTAATATCTTGTCATTGCCTTGACCCTTAACTATGTGAAATCAAAACTGATTTGCCTTGGCCACCAGTATAGAGCCAGGACAGCCCTGCAAATCTTTATCTGTATAGTCTGACCCTTCTCTAAACTGTAATCTGACCAACCTTAACTTAAAATCCTCAAATTTGATAATGGACAACTCCAAATGTAGGAAGTGTATGAGTACATGCAGGGTTTTTCTTCATGAAGGTTTTCTGTATCCTTGACCCAGATTTTGATCCGACAATTTCAACTAGAGTACATTCCTAGGACCACCAAAACTTATGAACCATTTTATATTTTCCATTCCTCGAATATCAATTCACAAATTCAGATGAATAAAATTTGATCATCTGTATTATTTAGTTGCTATTTCAATTCAAGATACTCAGTTTACAAGTTCTATAAGTTATCTCTATGATCCTTTAAATAGAAACCTAGCTCTGAAAAGTATGAACAAGTTCTGACATGTATGAACAATTTATGACATGTTTTATTGGAAAAGTATGAACAATTTCTGACATGTATGAACAATTTATGACATGTTTTATTGGAAAAGTATGAACAATTTCTGACATGTATGAACAATTTATGAAAGGTTTTATTGGAAAAGTATGAAATTCATGACATATTTTATTGATTTCAGTTGCTGAAATTACTTTAAAATATGAACCTCTTACAAACTACAATGAACTAGAAAAATCTCAAACTTGAAATCCTTGACCCATTGTCAGAAGTTCATAGGGAAAACCCTGTCCATAATTATAAGGAAGTCAGATGTTTAAATGTTGTGTTCTTTAAAGTAAATATGAATAGAGTACTTTATGTGTCAAGCATTTATGTACATCATAATAATATGTATATTACAGCAACAGAAAAAAGATGCAGATATAAGCCCCCCAGCAGGTTCAAGTCTACTAAGTACAAGTAATGTCAAGGATCATACCTTGGTTAAAGCTAAAAGACCAATGAATGCTTTCTTGTTGTTTGCAAAAGAATTTCGTATGGACTACACCCATAAGTACCCTAAAAGAGATACAGGTTAAGTTTTCTGTACATATGATGGGCAGGATAGACGACATTAAATGCTAATTATTATATTAGTAAGTGATAGATAATTAGATGATAAGATGTTTGTAACATATTGCTCTTGTTCTCCCAGTTTATGTTATCTTATTTTATTGTTGAGTGAAAAATACCAGATGGTCTTGAAAGTTGTGACTTTTATACTTGAACAGGTGTGTCTCTGATACACTAACAAGTGTGACTTTGATTCACAGTAGAACTTCGATAAGTTGAAGTTGAAGGGACATGTGTAAAAACTCCGACACATCGGGACTTCGACTCATGCAGCAGTCCCAATTTAATGACAAAATTTCAAGCCTTTGACATGTTTGAGTAAGTTACAAAAGGCTTAACAAAAGAAATAGTGATAACTAAACCAGTCCATAGTAAATATATCCTGTGTGATTATCACATCGGTCACAGAAATTCTCAAACATAACTTATTTGTACTGTTTTTTTTTGCCAGACTTCTAAAATATTAATTTTCATACCACTCGATAAGAAAAATCCTATATGTCTAGAAAAAACTTGAATATCTTCTATTTACTTGTTCATCTCAAAGTCTAGTCTTAACCACTCTTCAGTTTTTAAGAAATTAGATTTAAGAAAATTTCAAAATCAGGGGGTTTAACTTGGGAAAAAGAATTTTTTTTAAATCATATGCATGATAGCTCTTACAATCTTAGTGCTATAACATGTGACATTACCTTTTGAAGCTCAAGCAAGATTTTCCAATTTATAAACCAGAGGATCAAAATTGTTTCCACATGTCAGAAATGGTTTAAAAACTTTCAAAATGCTGACACAATACATAGCATTAACACAAAGATTCAATCTTCAATTAATACAAACTTTACATAAGAATTTAAAGTTGTTACAGGAAGATGTTATATGTTTATAGTAGATCTTTATATTTACAATGAAATATGAACAATAATAGAGGTAAATTATATACGTTATTAATACATACTACTTTCAGCATGACTGACACTGATAGTCTGATATTATACTAGGTATAAATATATTTGTGTTGTGTTGTGTTTTACCAAAATATCTAATACTAGTAGGTATGATTAGGTTGATGTGGTGTTGTATTTCACTATGATATTGTATTACACTGATATATTACAAGGAATGGCTTTGTTGATGTGGTGTTGTATTTTACTATGATACTGTATTACACTGAAGTAATACAAGGAATGGCTTTGTTGATGTGGTGTTGTATTTTACTATGATACTGTATTACACTGAAGTAATACAAGGAATGGCTTTGTTGATGTGGTGTTGTATTTTACCAAAATATTTAATACTAGGTATGATTAGGTTGATGTGGTGTTGTATTTCATTATGATACTGTATTACACTGATGTAATACAAGGAATGGCTTTGTTGATGTGGTGTTGTATGTAATACAAGGAATGGCTTTGTTGATGTGGTGTTGTATTATACTATGATATTGTATTACACTGATGTAATACAAGGAATGGCTTTGTTGATGTGGTGTTGTATTATACTATGATATTGTATTACACGGATGTAATACAAGGAATGGTTTTGTTGATGTGGTGTGGTATTACACTATGATATTGTATTACACTGATTAAATACAGGAATATCTAGCTCGAGGGTAACTGTTTACAGCAGTAACCAGACTCTGCCGAGGTTTTTTGCTTAACAGTTGCCGAAGAGCTAGATATTTCATTCCTGTCAGTTAAGACAGGATTTTCTAGCATTGGTTAAACAGTAGATAATCCTGTCTGATATGCAAGAATGGTATGATATTACTTAAGGTGTATGACAATGTTGGTATGATGTTGTTTTCCACTGGTATTACACAAGGTATGATGTGTTGTTACACTGATATTATACTAGGTATAACAGTGTTGGTGTGATGTTGTGTTACACTGATATGCTAGGTATAATTAGGTTGATGTCGTGTTGTATTTCAATATAATATATTGTATAACACTGATATAATACTGTGTATGATTACATTATTGTATGATATTACAGTAAGTGTATGACTGTTTTGATATAATGTTGTATTACACTGGTATTACACTAGACATGATTGTGTTGACATGATGTTGTATTACACTGGTATTACACTAGATATGATTGTGTTGACATGATGGTGTATTACACTGGCATTACACTAGATATGATTGTGTTGACATGATGTTGTATTACACTGGTATTACACTAGATATGATTGTGTTGACATGATGTTGTATTACACTGGTATTACACTAGATATGACTGTGTTGATATAATATTGTATTACACTGGCATTACACTAGATATGATTGTGTTGAAATGATGTTGTATTACACTGGTATTACACTAGATATGATAGTGTTGACATGATGTTGTATTTCACTGGTATTACACTAGATATGATTGTGTTGACATGATGTTGTACTGCACTGTGTTGTACTTCACTGTGACTTGGGGCGTCCATGGCTGAGTGGTTAAGGTTGTTGACTTCAAACCAATTGCCCCTCACCGGTGTGGGTTCGAATCCCAACATGGATTTTGGATTCTTTCATGTGAGGAAGCTATCCAGCTAGCTTACAGAACATTGGTGGTTCTACTCAGGTGCCCGTTCGTGCCTGAAATAATGCACGAAAGGGCACCTGAGGACATCCTCCACCAGTAAAGCTGGAATGTCGCCAAATGACCTATACTGTGTTGGTGTGACGTAAACCCCAATAAAATCAAATCAACTGCACTGTGTTTTGTTACATGTCTTTCCTGCACTTTTATAGTGGCATTATTTATTCTAAATTCTTATTTTCTTTATCTATCTCAACTTAACAAAAAAGTTCTTATAAAACACATATTGTTGGCAGCATTACAAAATAAAAAAGCAGAGTGTGGTTGCTGCACCTTTCTTATTTGTCATTATTTATGTCCTCAGCCAATTTTATGATAATCAAATGGTACACTTGCCTTATGGCAATTATTACAATTTGTTTACTGTAGGCTTGCATATGAGAGGTGGAGAGTGGAATTTTATTTCATTGAAAACTTAAAATCATTTATAAAAAGTAATCCTTCAGAATTCAAAAAAAAATTTCTATCAGTATTTGTAATACTTTAATATGCTAATTTAAATATCAAGTTGTATATTTCATACAGGGCAATAAGTGTGATGCTTGGAGAAGAGTGGCAGGCACTTTCTGTAGAGAAAAAACGTGTGTATGAGGAGAAAGCAAGATGGTTGGCAGAAAAACAGAAAAAAATATATCCTGACTGTTGGAAGAGGAAAAAACAAACATAAAGGTATAACACTTGTTGCAGGTATCTCGGATCCAGGTTGAATTTCAATGTCTATCAAGACTGCATATTCCAGTTACTCCCCCTGTACAAACAAACTTTTTATATTAATACTAGGATAACTCTCTGTCTAACATCTCCAGTTATAGCTTACACAATTATTTTTAGCTCGACTATTCGAAGAATATGAGAGCTATGGTGGTCGCCCTGGCGTCAGCGTCCGCGTCGGCGTCTGCGTTGGTTAAAGTTTTTTGTAAAGTCAAATATCTCAATTATTACTTGAGATATTCAATTGAAACTTACAATACTTATTTATAGTAACAAGGTACATCAGATTGACAAGTTGGATAACTCTACCTACAATATTGACAGAATTATGCACCTTTTTAACTAAGAAATTTTGGTTAAAGTTTTTTGTAAAGTCAAATATCTCAATTATTGCTTGAGATATTCAGTTGAAACTTACAATACTTATTTATAGTAACAAGGTACATCAGATTGACAAGTTCAATAACTCTGCCTACAATATTGACAGAATTATGCCCCTTTTTAACTTAGAAATTTTGGTTAAAGTTTTTTGTAAAGTCAAATATCTCAATTATTGCTTGAGATATTCAGTTGAAACTTACAATACTTATTTATAGTAACAAGGTACATCAGATTGACAAGTTGGATAACTCTGCCTACAATATTGACAGAATTATGCCCCCTTGGAACTTAGAAATTTTGGTTAAAGTTTTTTTGTAAAGTCATATATCTCAATTATTGCTTGAGATATTCAATTGAAATTTAAAATACTTTTTTATAGTAACAATGTACATCAGTTTGCAAAATGCAAAATTGCATAACTCTGCCTGCAATATTTGCAGAATTATTTGCCCCTTTGAAACTTAGAAATTTTGGTTATAGGTTAAAGGTCTTAAAAGATATTTATTTGAAACTTTACACATACACTTAGGATCATAATTGGAGGGTCATAATTGTATGTCACTGACCAAGTTCCATAACTCTATCTTGCATTAAGGCTGATTCATATCCCCTTTTCTACTTAGTCTCTTGGTTAATGTTTACATGCAAGTTTTACATATCTCAATAACTATTAAAGATATTTATTTAAAACTTCACATATGCATTAAGGGTCATAATTGTAGGTCACTGACAAAGATCCATAATTCTATCTTGCATTTAGGCTGATTTTACTCCCCTTTTTCAACTTAGAAATTCATGGTAAAGTTTTACTTGTAAGCTGTTATCTCAATAACTACTGAAGGGTTTGTGCCTTTTTCGGGACAATTTTATGCGTTCATAATAATAAAGCAGTGATTTACTTGATAAAACATCTTAATAACAAGCCTTTGTACCTTTTCTGTCAAATTTATGTATTCATAGGTAATTAGTATTGTTCTACTCAATAAAACACCCTTGTGACATTACCTTCCAGATAGTCAAGCCAATACTGTATAATTAGACTTTCTCTAAGGCCTATAACATGAATTTATAAAAAAAATTAGCCCTTTTGTGAACTTAAAAAATTTAACATTATCAAGGCTCTTTTACTATCAAGCACTTAGAATAGTCGAGCGTGCTGTCCTACCGACAGCTCTTGTTGATATTGAGTTAACTTGGTTTAAAGGAACTCCGCTGAAGTACAAAAGCCTATAACACAAAATTTAAATTTCTTACGAAGATCAGATAGGGCAAATTAAACAGAAAGATATGCAAAGGATTATTAAGAAATGCACGCTGAAACTAATTGAAAATTGTATTTTTTTGCTATTTTAACCAGAGTGGTACGCTTTTCAATATTGCGTGATTTTTCACAATCAGAATAGTCATTTTTGTAAAACGGAGAGAGGGAATGATCTGAAATTTTGCACACAAGTTATTTGTCTCGACCTACATCAAATGGAAAATGAATTTCAAAAACTTATTTCCAGTCCCATCATGTCAAAAAAAACCTCAGTAGACTCCCTTTAACAACTAGGTAACATTGTCACTGAGGCTATACAAGTGAGAGGCTCAAAATACATGGGCTGTGTAATATTAACAAATTGTGTAGTGCGCTTTATGATTTTGAATTGTTTTTTGCTACATATCAACTTTTAAAATTAAATTTAAAACAACAAAAAGTAAAACCCTGTATTTCCTCTATATATTAGTTGGGGCGTCCGTGGCAGAGTGGCAAAGGTTGTTGACTTCAAACCACTTGCCCCTTACTGCTGTGGGTTTGATTCCCGACAGGGACTTTGGATTCCTTCATGTTGAGAAGCTATCCAGGTAGCGTACGGAATGTCAGTGGTTCTACTCAGGTGCCCGTTAGTGCCTTAAATGATTCACAGAAGGGCACCTGAGGTCTTCCTCCACCAGTAAAGCTGGAACGTTGCCACATGACCTATACTGTAAAACCCAATCTAACAAACAAACAAGTATATATATTAGTTAATCGTTGATAAAAGTTTTACTCCTTTCTTTATTATTGCAGGATGTGTGTAGAGGTAGAGTTGTAAAGTGCTATTCATAACCAGGCTGTCTTCTATAACTAAACGGTATACATACGTACACCATGAATGATTAACTTATTGCTGTCAATGTTTGTTGTTTTATATTATATGATCTCATTTTAAAAATATTTATTATAAAATGTATCCTTTTTTATCACTTGTTTATTTTATTGCAGTTTTTATTTTAGTGTTTACATTGTTCCATTGTTTATTTCTACAGAGAGTAGATATATTTTAAGTGAGAGAAAATTGTTTTGACATTATGTTTTGTGTATAAGAATTGTGTATAAAAACAGAGACATAGATAACAGAGATTGGCAGCTCCTATAAACTATATTGAAATATCCATCATGCCTATCAAAAAGTGAAAAATTAGGTATTTTGTAGCAAATAAAACTTAATGGATGTACATTTGATCCTTTAATATTATATACCATTTGAAAAGTAAATCTTTTATCTATTGCTGCATGTTAAAATATTGGTAACTTTCCATGCCTTTCACTTAGAAAAACATAGCAGAACATACCCACTGAGCCAGTTTTGTCGTCAAATGAATAGTTTTGTAACAAAAATTAATTGGTAGTTCTCTTTCAAAATTGATGTATCATTTATTTAAATGGAAATTGTAAATATTTTTACCTGCAGCCATAGACAAATGCATAAGCTTTCAGAAAATGTATTATTTTCCTGATTTTGATATCTGGTTAATAAGTTTTACTTGCTACAAGTTTTAAGTTTAGCAGGAACGCGTGATATTTTAACTGGTTAGGAAGTTGCCTATCTCTGTTATCTATGTCTCTGATAAAAATGTCCACCTTTATTACTGTAGCAAGCAGCTCCGTTTTTATGCCCCAGTCACAATAAGGGTGGCATATAGTGTAACCCCTGTGTCCTTGTGTGTGAAAATCTTGTCCAGTCCATACCTCTATCATGCATAAAGGGATTTTGATAACATTTTGTGTAGCATCATATGATTGTGTCATGTGCAAGACCTAGACCCTTAGCGGCTAGGTCAAGGTGGAACTGAAAGGTCAAAGGTCAGTATTTAGAAAATATTGTCTGACCCATTATTCTGTTTTGCATCAAGGGATTTTGAAATAACTTTGCACAAGTGTGAATCATAATAAAACAGTGTGCTATGTGCAAGACTTAGATCCTTAGGTGCTAGGTCAAGGTCACAGAGGTCAAAGGTTAGCAGTTAGAAAATCTTGTCTGGCCAAATACCATGTCATGCATTTTGTGATTTTGGAACAATTTGGCTCAAATGTTGAGCTTGATGAGACAGTGTGTCATGCACAAGTCCTAAACCCCTAGCTCAAAGGTCCAAAGGTCAGCAATTAGAAAATCTTGCCTGGTCCATAACTCTGCCATGAATCAAGCTACTAATTATTTATTTAAACACTTGGTAGAACATTATACACTACATGTGTGCAGCATTTTCTTTGATATCATTTTTGTGTTATTAAATCATTGGAACAAACACTGACATAATGAGCTATTTGTTGTGTTGACCCTCACCCTGCTGAACCCAAAAATGAAAAACCTTTTCTATCCATGCAGCCTGGCCAATCTCTATTCTATTAGTAGTTAAATGTTTGTATTTTGATAATGAAATCCCTTTAAATTTGAATGGACTGTTCCAAATTTATAAAAGGGCAAATCCATTACACAAATTCGGCAAGTGTTAACTTAGAACATCAAGTTATGTCATCATTTTTTCTACCTGTAGTTACATTTTTGCATTCATTTCAAGTAGACAGTTGTAATTTTCATCTTTTAATATTGAGGGATGATATAATAGAGGACAGAATGATAAGGTTGATGTAACTTTTTTTACAAAATGTAGAAAAATGTGAAGGAAAAAGGTTGTCAGGACAGTAAAGGTTCTTAAAGAATGACACATGTAATTTATAAAAAAGTTCTTTTTTTAACTGTCAAACTGTTGTTTTATTGTCAGAGAGCTATCTTGTAGGACCTGTCATCCATTCCACAATTACTTGAAGTGAAATCTTCACTAACACCAGTTGGCCAAGTTTTAATGAAACATTTTTTAAGGTTTTTTTTGCATAAAGATTTAGATAAGCTGTTCAAATAGTAAGAACCCAGGTACGCACATAATGGATTATAATAATTAAACTACAAACTTGTTTCTGTTATCCCAATACAACAGCTACTGCCTTATATCAAAATATAATCAATTGTGCATTATCAAGTCATTGGCCACCTTGATAAAGGTTATTTAGAATTTCTGGCCAGGGTTCAAATTGAATGTCAGACTGAGATTTGTTTAACTTGGCAGTACAGACAGTAGTGCAGCTGCATGAAAGACTTGTGGTCAAAACTGGCCCCGCCCCAGCTACCACATGATTTTACATTAAAACTTTCGTAGAAAAATGTCTCGTCAGAAATCACAAGGTAAAACTATTAATTTTATTGGTTAAATACAGAAGTGCTGTGTCACTCTTTTGAACAATGTTTCAAAAACAGGTATTTCCTGTTTGCCTCTTTTCTCAATAGATATTTTAGATAAATATTTTTGTATTTTGCATGTAGATTTCTAGGACCTTGTCATTTTTTTCATTTTTAAAAAAAAAACAATATGAATGTTTTCGTTTAGCTCCCCTTTAAAGGAGGCATATAAATGCTTTTTTTCCAAGTATAAATTATAAAGATTTACAGTGGAATTCTTATGGGTGTAATAGGCAGATTATGACCATTTTGTAATTAAACATACTGTAGTCAGTAAATAAATATATTTTTGTCATTATTAAACCATTTCTGAGATCTTTGAGTTTGGTATTACTTTCATTTTAGAAGTATCTGTTAAAGGAACTCCACTGAGGTCCAATAGCCTAAAGTAATAAATTTTAAAGTTATTTTTTAAATCAACTGGTACACTTAAATTTGAAACCAAGCAATAGATGATATATAATTATACAATGTTATTTAATTGACTATCAATTTTTATGCGATTTTTGGCCAATATGAATGAAAATCGTTGCAACGGTTTAAATTTTTTTGGGCCGATTTGTACAAAAAAATTGATTACTTCTGGGAAATGGAGTGAGCGAATTATCTGAAATTTTGTACACAAGTTATTGTATCTAGTTATTCAAAATGTTGAAAAAATATTTTTGGTTCCTTCTCGTCAAAAAAATTTCAGTGGAGTCCCTTTAATTTAAACATTCAAAGCATAATAACTTTTGTTAAGTTAGTAGTTTATTTATATGGTATTGTAGGATAGTTGGTTTTGTCATAAAGCAATCATAAAGGCAGCAAGTTTACAATTGTTTTTCACTATGACTGGCAGCATTTCCACATTTGTGTTCAATATGCGATATTTACTTTTATTATATGCAACTGTTACTATGTGGAGCATGTTATATTAACATTATTTTAATTGAAGTTTATGTTTCTGTGTTCATTATTTTTGTGCATATGCTACTGCATATGTGTACATGTATATAAAATTATGTTTATTTTTAGGCATGTTTATTAGGTATGTAATATACATACATACCATGCCTAACATATTACTGTTACTTATGGTTTTGAAATTTTTAATTTATCTACTGTGCGTTCAGGTTTTAACATGCATTGAAGACATGAATCATACTAAGATTTTTTATTGCTTAATAGATAACATTGTTTACCATTTATAAAAGTGCCATTCTGAATGACTGATTATCATTGACCTTATAGGTCTGTAAAAAAACTTGTAGACTGCAAAAAGACAGAAAGACTTCTTTGTTTTATCACTGCGCGATATTATTTCAAAAGAGAAAATCATATATTCTGTTATAGCTAGTGTAATACAATAAAACGAACATGGACTTATGATTCTGTCAATATGTAGATTTTTTGGACCTGATAAAAGTTATATTGATATCAGACTATTGTCCTTGGTCTCTATAACTTTCTTCTGGTCAAAAAATGCTATATATGTAGACCTTTACATAAGTCTTAAATTGTATACTGTATATGAATAATATCATTCTGTGAAAATTGGAAGTTTGAAAAAAAAAATCTAATTCATAGTTGATAATTGAATGAATTTTTCTTATCAGAATAACTAGCCAATATTATAATCAGTGATTAGATATATTTAAGTCTATCATATTTCATTTATACGTGTTCCTCAGATTAGTTGATGATGTCACAAGTATGCAAAAAGTCTTGTTGACCATAGACTCCAAAAAGATGTATTCACCCATACATTTTAAAAGCATTTACAATGCTCCATGACTATGGGAACAAGAAGATTCTAATATTAACTGGCTTCTTGGCTACAATTGTTCTTCCATATGACTGTTTATAAGTTATAAATAAATAGGTAATAAATTTGCCAGCAATACTATGATATTATCGTCAAAAAGGCAAATCAGGGGAATAATGTATCAGTTTTGCTTAAATCATGTTGACACTGGCATGTTGATGTTACTGACAGTGTATATTCAAATATGACATCATGATCTTAGGTCAATCATGCATGAAGTAATTACAAGATACATTTATTACAGTATAATGTTTGTGTAGGTTGGTTAACTGTATGTGTATATGAGAAATTTTCCAGATTATGATAGAATTATTACATTGTTATGTGTTTAATATGTGTACCATACACATATGTTATTTTTATGTATGTTATATATACAGTCAACTCTCGTTATCTCGACGTCATCGGGACCATCCAAAAAATGTCGAGATATCGGAATGTAGAGATGAGCATTTTAGGGTTTGAACCAGATAGAAACTGATTTTTACCTAAAGTCAAATAAGCTAAGTATGATATTTCCATGTCTTGTTTCCTTGTGCCTTATATCGCAAAGTCATTATTTATTAAAAAATTAAATTAGCAGATGGTTACCGGTGGAAATACAGGAGTCTGTGATAGATACACATTATGAGTGAGGTTTACTCAGTTATACACCACTATAGGTGTTTTCAGCACAGTCCAGATATCCTCCGACTCTTCTTGAGGTTGTTTGACCGCTGTTTGATTTTTTTAATGTTGTGTAACAATATTGCAATGATAATGTTTCCATATTTTCAATATTTCATTTACATTAAAAATTTATAATGAATGAAATACAGTGTTTGAATATTTTATAAATAACAGAAAATTCACTCATTTTGGACATAAGTCAATCAACACACTAATTTGATTAACTTTTATAAATAAGCTCGACTTGTTACAAACATAATCGTCATTATGTCACATGCTATTGAGCAATTATGGTCTGGTTTGTGTTTTTCACGTACATTTCTGCTGGGGACAGATGAAAAATTAGTCGCGATAAACAATGGTTAAAAGTGTAAAATAACTATATTGGCTAAAATTTACTCCGAGATACTGAAAAAATCGAAATAAAAATATCGAGATAAACAAATATATCCAATATAGATAAAGAAGGAAGAAAATGGGACTTACAAAATTTCATCGAGGTAACGAAATATCATGAAAAGGGATGTCAGGATAACGTAAGTTGACTGTACATTGTTATACATGTATCATACAATGTGTTTGTATGTACATCATAGATATATGGTTATGTGTTTAAGACACATCGTTATGTGTTAAACATATGTATGTTTCTGTGTGTGCGTTTACCTATGTGAGTTATTCTAATTTGTAAATGTACATTCATCATAAAATGGTGAAGTATTTTATGCAATCTTATTGACTATTAGCATTTATGCTTTGTTTTCTATTATTCTAACACAACCTGTATATTTCCCTATTGGACATAGAAGAACCGAAAGTGTGTGCTGTTATGCTATAAAATCACTGTTGACATTCAATATTTCGTTATGTGACGTAATCATTTTTCATGTAACTTAACCACTAAAAATGCGCCACATTAAAAAGTGAGGTGCAATTTAGCTTAATATCAGGTACAACAGCATTTATTTGCTGATGTCATTTTAGAATCAAAATAATATATCCCAATCAGTGATTTTATCACTTGATAAAATCACTGTTTATCGTTCGGACGCACATCATTATATCACTCGGGTGACGCCCTTGGGATATAAATCCTCGCATCCGAACCCCAAACAGTGATTTTATTGAGCGATAAAATCACTGTTTGGGATATATTATTTGTTAAACAAAATGTTGTTTTCAAATATGTTATATTATCAATTCTGAGTACGTAGGATCAATACACTTGTGATTGATTTTATGATTTTTATGTAACACAATTATTTATATGTGAAGGTGATTTATTCAACATTTTTAATACATGTACTTTTTTATCATTTTGTTATAATTATAAGAGTTTCTGCTATTTGAGAAGACTTAAGCAAAATATTCATTGATTTTTGTGATACTGTGATCACTTTTTGTCTGTGATGCATCATGCATGGTGCATCATCGAATTTTGTTTTAAACAATGTCTTTGCTGAAACAAGAAAAGTCAATAATGTTGTAACAGTTAAAGCAGAAATGCTCCGTAGAACAAAGTTTGATGCAGATATATTGAATATTGTTCCGATCATACTGTACCAGCAAAAAGGATTTTAGATGATATCTTCTTATGAAACATTTTACATTCTTCATTTAACTGGTTAAGAATGATCTTTTAATGGTACCATTAAAAAAAGTTGCAAAAATATTTCATCTGCTCAATGATTCTTGTTCAGGCAAAATGACTGTCAGATTAAGATTTAAATGACTTCTCGTTTTGAACATTTTTGCACTGATATTTATTGAAAGTTTATTGGAATGATCTTTGTTTAGAATTTTGTTTGAAAAATGCTTTTAAAATCTTTTTAGTCCAATTAACTTAAATGATGTTCACTGGAGCCTAAGATATACATAAGTTTTAAATGATAACTTTGCTGAACTAATGCTTGGTTTAAGCATAATCAGGGCTATAATTGTAATTAAAGCCGATTCTTAGATTAATTATAGTCAGAGCTATAATTGTAATTAAAGCTGATACTTGGATTAATTATAATTAGTCAGGACTATAATTGTAATTAAAGTCGATACTTGGATTAATAATAGCCAGGACTATAATTGTAATTAAAGCCGATTCTTGGATTAATTATAGTCAGGGCTATAATTGTAATTAAAGCCGATACTTGGATTAATTATAGTCAGGGCTATAATTGTAATTAAAGCCGATACTTGGATTTATTATAGTCAGGACTATAATTGTAATTAAAGCCGATACTTGGATTAATTATAGTCAGGACTATAATTGTAATTAAAGCCGATACTTGGATTAATAATAGCCAGGACTATAATTGTAATTAAAGCTGATTCTTAGATTAATTATAGTCAGGGCTATAATTGTAATTAAAGCCGATACTTAGATTAATTATAGTCAGGGCTATAATTGTAATTAAAGCCGATACTTGGATTAATTATAGTCAGGGCTATAATTGTAATTAAAGCCGATACTTGAATTAATCTTAGTCAGGGCTATAATTGTAATTAAAGCCGATACTTGGATTAATTATAGTCAGGGCTATAATTGTAATCAAAGTCGATACTTTGATTAATCATAGTCAGGGTAATAATTGTAATTAAGCTGATACTCGGAATACTCATAGTCAGGGCTATGATTGTTATTAAAACTGATACTTGGATTAATTATAATCAGGACT